GTACCTCTGAAACAAATAATACATTATATGTTAAAAAAAAATGATAGTAGGAAGGGAAAACTGAAGGGGGGGAATCAGAGGGGGAGACGAACCATGAGAGACGATGGACTCTTGAGAAACAAACTGAGGGTTCTAGAAGGGAGGGGGGTGGGGGGATGGGTTAGCCTGGTGATGGGTATTAAAGAGGGCACATACTGCATGGAGCACTGGGTGTTATACGCAAACAATGAATCATGGAACACCACATCAAAAACTAATGATGTATGGTGATTAACGTAACATAAAAAAAAAAAAGATGTAACTCAAGGAGAGCCAGATAGAAGCGATGCCTAGGGCGGGGGTGTGGAAAGGACCCGGTGCTTCCATGCTCTGCCCAGGGACGCCACCCTCCTAGCATCTCCACATGCTCACTGGTCTGGAAGCTTTTAAACCCCGTACTTTAGGGATTTTTATGGAAGCTTCATTATGTAGGCATGATTGATTACATTATAGAACCTTTGGTGATTGATTAAGCTGGGGGGCTGGAAGTTCCAATCCTCTAAACATATGGTTCGTTCCCTCAGCAACCAGCCCCTATCGGTGATTATCTGGGGGTTTTCCAAAATCACTCATTAACATCAACTCTGGTGTGTTTGAAAGGGGCTTGTCATGAATAACAAAAGCCTTTTCTTTCACCTTTACTGTCCTTATCATTTAGGAAATTTCAAGAGTTTTAAGAGTCCTATGCCAGGAATGGAGATGAAAGCCAAATACGTATTTCTTATTTATAAATCACAGTACTACAATCCTCATCTTTTCTTTTTCTCCCTCTTCCTAAATGTTCTCTTTTCACTCTCATTTTATTTTATTTTTTTTTTCACTCTCATTTTAAAGTCAATTTTAGGGAAATATAAGTTGTCCGAAATCATGAATGATTTTAGTGAGTTTGAAAACAAGGCATTTCTTTTCCATCCCTAGTGAGACAGTAACCTTAGATCTGAGGACTGGGTATTTTCAATATCATAAAGGCAAAGCACAGTCTGTTTGGGCTGTGAACGTAGACTACAGTAGCTCCTGGGAAAATTAAAAAATCTAATTTACACTTTTTGTGTTTTTTCTCTCTTTTCAAACTCCGTTACTAAAACCCAGTTTAACCCTCAGGAAAGTTAAGCAGATGCGGGGGAGGGAAGACCCTGTTGGTGTTTGCTTGTTTGTTTTCTCTTCCTTCTCCCTGAGAAAATAGTTTATTAAAACATACTCAGTCCTTTTCAGGAATGCTCCCTCGGAATTCCAGTTTGTTCTTGGGGTTTTGTTTTCCTCTTCATCTTTACTTTGCCTGGTAGCTGGCTTTGGCATTCCCAACTCTGTGAGCATGCTGACTTCCTGAGAAGGAGCAGAATGGACTTCCGTCCATGCGTTCATGGATGTCAGCCCTGGACGGTTTAAAAAGACCAATACCTTGGGCACATCAATCCGTTTCCCGGAGCTCCAGTTTTCTTAGTTATAAAATGAAGATGTGGGACTAAGATATCTCTAAGATCCATGCCAATCCCTCTGTAATTTTAACAGTAATAATCCCTAACTTTGGATAGCTTGTTATGGGCCAGGAATCTCTGTAGTCTTTTTTGTCTTTAGTAATCCAGCAGGTAGGTACCACTGTTTCCTTCATTTTACGGTAAGGCTTTGAGAAGTTTCATAGATTTTTCCCAAGATCAGATGGCTAATGAGTTATTAGAACTTCAGTTCCAGTTCAGTCTGTGATTGTCTGGTAACAGTGCTTTTCTGCACTATGCCTGATGCTTCCACAAAAAAGGAAAAGTCCAATGGCCACCATTGTCATTGTGGGCTTGCTCTATGCCAAAACGAGTGCTAGGTGCTTTGTACAGAGTCCTAGGATGTAAGTATTATTGGCTCCGTGTTGTAGACATGGAAATTGAAGCTCAGAGGTAATAAACCTACCCAAGAAACAACCACTGGTAAGTGGTAAGGAAGGATTAGAATCAAAATCTGTCTGTTACAAAGCTTTTACTCTTCTATGTCCCTGAGGGATTCTAGCTATGAAGGCTTGGTTGGGGAAAGAGGACAAGGAATGGGAGAGACATATTCCTCTCCTCAGCTTTTGTGATTCGGAGCTGCAGCTGCCCCTAAAACATCTGTGTGCTTCTGACTCAGAGATTGCAGGCAGGAAGGCAGTGATGGACAATAATGAAGCTTGACCTAATGGTGGGCACTGGAGGTCAATGATCAAATGGATCTCTGGACAGAATAAGGAGCAGGTGCTCGAGTGTATTTTTTTCCAGTACCACTTTGATGGCATATGGGTAAGTTAGATGGACCCAGTGTTTTAAAATTATTTTCATTTATTTATTTAGAGAGAATGAGCAAGCGAGCCGGGGAGGCACAGAGGGAGAGGGAGAGAATCTTAAGCAGGCTCCACACTCAGTGCAGAGCCTGAAACGGGGCTTGATCTCACCACCCTGAGATCATGACCTGAGTTGAAACCAAGAGTTGGGGGCCCAACTGACTGAGCCACCCAGGCGCCCCAGACCCATGGTTTTTTAAAATTGCACCGGAGTAGTGGTTCCGGAATTATGGTGTCCTAGGGCCATCAGCATCAGCATCACTTGGCAATTTGTTAGAAATGCAAATTCTCAGGCCCTGTCCTGGGTGGGGGTGGGGCCCAGGAATCTGTGTTTTAACAAGCCCTTTAGGTGATTCTGATGGAGGCTCAGAGTCCAGAGCCACGACACCAGAGAACCGGGGGGCTCCTTTCAGTGGTGTGGTTAGCTCCCCGACAAGAGCATGGGTAAAAGGCCAAATCTTCAAAATTGGGGTTTTGTAAAACACAGCGTCTCATTGTTGGAAACAAGCACCCTGATTCTAAAACCCCTGCCACTCCTCCAAGACAAGGTCCACTTCAGGATGATACTAAAGTGGACATCCTTTGCATGGCTGATTCAAGAGTGAGAAACTGGACAGATGGGTCTATTGGATTCCTCCCGTTTACAAAACTTTCTCCCTTCCTGCAAGCAGTTGCCATGACTTTTGCTCTCTGAACAGCTTAGAAAACAGAAATGAACTGCAGTTTTTTGCCTTTAAAGAAAGCAGAACCGAGGTCAGAGCATAAATGGTAGCCAGTGTTAGGCCACCGTGAATGTTTCTGGCTTTCTTTTGGAAGAATCTTCACAGCCATTGTTTCGTTCACTCAAGAACAAAACCAGAGTGCAAAGTTTCGAGAGAGCAGCACTTTCTCCTCAAAATTTCCCTTCTCTGCGCCCTGAACCCCGACCCCTACTAGGGATGGCCGATTTCTGATGAGTTTCTTAACTCTCCGTGCCCTTGGGCCAGTGGCCCTTAGGCTTCAGGGAGTGCTGACAGAAACTTGGGGGTATGAGCAGGAGACCAGTATGCCCACCAGCTTGCCCTCACCAGGCAAGGTGGAGCTTCCCTAAAAGCACCGATGGGCAGCAGGGGGTATAGATGAGAATTTGGGCTTCAGCTGGGGGTTGACAGTGGGGTGGGCCGAGCACACGCGCTCCAGGCAGCTCTAGTCTGCAACCGGAACGGAGATGCCTGCCTCCTTGTTCAGCATTATGGAGAGTCTCACTTTTGTTGGAGCTTGCTTCATCCATTGTTTTCTTTCCTGCTTTATGTCTACCCCCCGCCCCCCACATCAGAAAGCCCCCTTTTGGTTTCCTGATCGCTTGCCTTTTCTTTTCCTCTGAGATACACCAGGCTGGAGACACTGAGCAAAATGGCCAGCGCACTGACGAGAGGCTGCTAGCTCTCCAGGCAGATGGAGGAGAAGGCTTCACACCCCCGTAGGAACTTGCCAGAAGCAAGTGCTAAGAGGAATCACCTACACAACTTAAGACAGGGAATATATACATATATATATATATTTTTTTTCCCTCCCCCAGTTCTACCCGGAGAGTGTTTGTGAAGCTACAGAAGTGTTAGTAGCCTGGAGCTCGTTCTTGGGCTTCTGTCTCTGTTGGCAGTGGCTGTACGATTCGCTTCTCATCCATCCATTCAGAGATTTTATCTGTTGTCAGGGAAGTCTTCCTCCACGTTTGTTTGAGAGCATGTTGGTGGATCAAAGGCATCCTATAACAGGATAACCTTCAGCTAAACCCATTTTCCTCAGCTAAACCCAGAGTCCTGAGGAGAATTTGAGAGCCCCACGACAGTGTTAAACCTGGTAGTTTCTACTTCAGATAAAGGATCATAATTATTTTGGTGGGGGGTGGCCAGGGAGCAGGAATTTGAGCAGTGTGGGCTTGGAGTGAGTTGAGAAAGCAAAGATACGGCCTGAGAGCGTGGAAGGAGTGAATTTTCCTCGGAGACTAAGGGCTCTTCCTACCCAGGTTCCCGGGTGATCCAGAGATGCCAGGCAGAAGCAAAACCCAAGCACCGAAAAGAACCAGCACCTTCTTCCTCTCTGTGGCAAGGAGCCACTATTCCTCAGCCTACCCGGGAGAGCTCCCCACCCGATTCTTTGCTGCTTCTCTGTGCGCCAGGCAATGAGACTTCATGTGAATGAAGTGTCCTGGATGTTTTAGTTGCTGCTGAAATGGTCCTGAGGCCCTTACACGGCACGGTTTCACTCCTGCCCACGGGTAGACGCTGGAGGCACTCTGTGGAGACGGTCAGGGTAGACTGCGTTGTTTATACTGAGAGGTGGATAGGTGGGGCTATTAATTGCCTTTCTGCAACTGATGGAATTCAGGTGGGAAAACCACGTCCCCTTCTGTTTCCAGTTGCTGTGTTTTCCTAGTCACCTATACCTCCTAATTGATTTTACTAATCACTTCTGTTCTCTCATAAGATAGTTTCTTGGGTTAATAAGCTGTGAACTGAAATGTTTGCATTTGGATTCAAGAATTTGCTTTTTCCTCAGGAGGGTGCTAACTGCGTGAAACACGCCTTTGATACCCGTGTATGATAAGAACAGTAGACTTAGTGCAGTGAATGTCGGCAAGTTAAATGCTTAGTTCCGCTCTGGATCAGTATCTTGTTCTTATACATCTCATCTGCACACGGGCACTTTAAAAATAGTTTTTCTTTATTACAAAAATACTTAGAAAATACAAGGAGAAAAAAGGGAAAATTCCCAGTATGCTTATCGTGAATCCTTGTGGAACAGAGCCAAGTCTTTTTTCATACACTTTCCTCTTCCTTTCTCTTACGAAGTATTGGATCTCAGTACATTATTTTCAATAAGCTCCTTGTGATTGCCTCTGCGTGTCATTTGACCATCTTTTTGTAGCCCTGTACTAGTGGTCGTGCAGTTTCCCATTGAATAGCTATAAACAGCTGTGCGATCAACTCAGATTGTCAGACATTTGACTGTTGTTCAGTTGTTCACTAACAGAAGCAATGCCGCGATGAAATTTTTGAAAACCTTTTACTCTTGCTTGACTGTAACCTTTAGATAAATTCGTAGGCGTGTTTATTTGCTAGGTCAGAATTTTGCCACAGTGCTCTCCGGGATGGCTTATTTTTCTAGGATTCTGGGTTCAATTTAGATCACTTTAAATGCTGGATCTCGAACAGCATTTCTCCTTTCCCCATTTCGTATATCACTTTTCCATTTTGTGTAGCACTTGGGGAAAGGGAAAACAACCTCAGATCCACTCATGTCTTGGCAGGGTCTGATTTTCACAAAACTGTGTGTAAAGACATGGCAGTACGTTCATAATGCCATTTACAGTAATTCGGGGTAGCTGATTGAGTCAGCAGCCATTCCCAGAGTATGGATCCTGTGTACACCCTTGGTTCGTGCCCATAAAAACTCGATGAAAGACAATAATTGGGTAGAAAACAGGCTGTGAATGGAAGGGTCAACCAGTTATTCCATCTGTTAAAAAATGATCAGCTGAAGGGATACCGTTTATTCACCAGAGATTTTAAGCCCCTCCCATGTGCCCTGCAGTGTTCTTGGTGCTTGGGATACCTCAGTGAACAAGCCAGATAGGAGGCCCCCTACCTTGTGCAGCTGACATTGTAGTGTGTGTGTCTGTGTAGGTGTGTGTGTATTGCAGAGGCAGAAAATAACGCAATAATTTACCTAGTATGTTCGAAGATGACCAGTGTTATGGGAACACAATGGTGTAAGGCAGGGCAGGACACGTCGTGCAGAATGAAGGAAGATATTGACCTCATTGAGATGCTGACAGACCAAGATATTTGCAGGAGGTAGGGATGCAGCACGCTGATCCATGCCTGGCAGGGATGTACCAGGAATTGAAGAGAACAGTTTGCGTGCATGCACATGTGCGCGCGCGCGCGCACACACACACACACACACACACACACACACACACACACACCCCTAGAAGGCGTCAGCTCCCCCCATTCCTACCACGTTCATGGTCCTCTAGAGCACTGTCTTTGAGTGCAGGGCTGTGAGGCAGAGACAGACCCTGGGAAGCATGTCCTTTTCATGCAATGAAAAGTATAAAGAACAGTCGATGTATACCCAGGTAGGTAAGGGTCAGTTAAGGGAAAATGAATTGGTTCCAGAAGGAACAAAAAACTCCCCATGATGAATGCCAATTCTTTTTCACAGTCAGCTAAGTAGAATTTAGGATACCATGAAATTAATGGAGTAGACTTTCTAAAATGAAAATATGGTCCAGTGAAAGAACTAGGCTTATCAGTGCTAATCCAAAGTACGTGAGAAAAGATAATTCCATTTGGAGTTTGGTGGAACTGTAACAATTAGTATGCATCCCCAAATACTAAAGGAGCAGCCAGGATATCTTTCTCAGCTCTCTCCCATTTTATAATGGAGGAAACTGAGGCACAGGCAGTTCTGGGACAAGCGGGAACGAACTAGCCATTGTGTGGCTGTGAGCCTGGTCCATGGAGCTGTGCTCTGTCCCCCACCACGGTGGGCCTCTTCCGGGGCCACCGTGCTTCTGTCAAGCTTCCTTGTTCATTAGAAGGACTGACTGATAAAGACACTTCTAAATACCATCAATTATGAGACAATTTCTTCTCACCTTTTCTTGAGGCAGTAATCAATTTTCTGCTCAATGTGCTGGGGGGCATGCTTGGACACTGCACAACTTACAAAACTGTGTATTGTCCTTGGAGGAAAAAGCAGTGCACCTATCATGACAACCAGACAAGGCCGGGAGAATATATCTAACTGTAATCTTTTAAGCCCAGCAGCATTTAGCTGAACCCAAAGTGCAGAATTTGAGCTCAGCCTCAGTCACCTGGTTAGATGAGATTTTTCAGAAGTGGTCTGATTTGTTTGTAGACAACCTGAATCTGTTAAATCTCACTATCCGATCTGCCTCTTAGTGGCTACTTTGCAAGAATACATTTTTTTTAAATCAATGTAGGCATTATATATAATTTTTAAAAAATATTTTAGGCCTTGTCCACAAATATCTATTAGATATTGAGTGGTTGTCAAGAAAATAATCATCAGTGCTAGAATTTGCCCTTCCCCTCAGTCTGAGCAGGTATTACTCAGAGGTACATGTCTAGTAAGAACAATCCAACATTCAGTAAGAACAATTTAAGAATGACTTGCCACAGGGGTGCTTGGGTAGCTCAGTCGATTAAGTGTCTAACTCTTGATTTCAGCTCATGTCATGATCTCAGGGTCGTGAGATCGAGCCCCCTGTTGAGCTCTGCACTGGGTGTGGAGTCTGCTTAAGATTCTCTCCCTCCCTCTGTCCTGCCCTGCCCCCCAGCTCTCTCATTCTCTCTCTCTCTCAAAAAATGAATGAATGAATGAATGAATGAATGAATGAAAAAAGCAAAAGAATGACTTGTCACAGAAGAAAGGAAAACTAGGCATTTTAGAATTACATTTGAATCTATGATCTTATCCTCATTTTTCAGATGCTCTTCATTTGTGATTACTTTTCAGACTCATCATTTTGTTCATCTCAAATTAAAAGATTACTCAAAATCTCTTACACATTAAAATTTCTGTCTCAGATGTTTAGCTTTATAGCACTGTCATAGATCTTAATTGGTACATACCACCCTTTTTTTTTCTTTTTTCCCCCCAGGACCTTGATTATCACAATTCCTTTAAATTGGATAATTAGAAGCTGAAAAGTGGCCCTGGGAAAAGCAAGGAAGCCAACATATTCAGTGCATTTTATGGCCCAGGAAGTGTGCCATACATTTAAATCTCCCAAATCCAGGATGCCTGCATGGTTCCGTCAGTTAAGCATGCGACTCTTGGTTTTAGCAAAGATCATGATCTCAGGGTCTTGGGATTGAGCCCAGCGTTGGGCTCTGCGCTCAGTGGGGAGTCTGCTTGAGGATTTTCTCTCTCCCTCTGCCCCTCTTCCCGCTCACACACACACACACACACACACACACACACACACACACTCTCTCTCTCTCTCTCTCTAAAATAAATAAATCTTTTTTAAAAAAACAACCCAAATCATAGGTAGTAGACTTTGAGATCCCCATTTAAGAGTCCAAGAGCCCAGCCCATGAAGATTGCATTTCTAAGCCACAGAGCCTGTAAGGTACAAAAGTGGCCTCCAGACCCCTGTCTATTCTGAATTAAAAGCTTAATCATTTTCCTGTCCTCTCTTTCTCCTCCCCTTTCTGACATTACCCTGCCAGTTTTCCCTAGATCGAATTTAAACATTGTGAGGTGAACTGTGGGGTTGTTTTGTTTTGTTTTGTTTTTGTTTTAAGTAGGTACCCCGCCCAGCACAGAGCCCAGTTCTGGGCTTGAACTCACAACCCAGAGATCAAGACTTGAGCTGAGATCAAGAGTCGGACACTTAACCGACTGAGCCACCCGGATGCTCCAACTTGTGGTTTTTAATACTTGGAAGGGTTTCCAAAAAAAAAAAAAAAAGTAATAATTCTTCCACTGCTTTCCATAATTTGCACCAGAGTCAGAACTTTATCCATGTCCTTCTCCTGGGAACCTGGGAACTGTCAGACCAGGCAGAGACTAAACAAAAGTAGTTATTCATTCAACACACCCTCACTGATCATAGTACCGTGTTTCACAACGAGCTGGTACTGAGGTAAGAGGTGCCGTGTTTAACAACAAGCGGGTACTGAAGAGGTGCCGTGTTTAACAACGAGCGGGTACTGAGGTAAGAGGTGCCGTGTTT